CAAGTGCAGATGGATCAAGTCCATGCTAAAACGAGCTAGCCAAAATCCAGAGACTTGCATGTCTCTGTATCATCGGTGCACAGAAAAGCACACCAACGGCAAGTATGGAAACGATCCTAAGCCTCCCACCAATTGCCCTTATCGTCAAAGCGGAGGCTAGAATCGGGACATATCGTCTTCAGCTGAACGAAACCTGGAACCTAAAACCAAATGAACATGCGGCAATCACCAAAATAATCACAAACCCGATTTTTACCATGGGTAGCGACTGTATGATGCCGAAAAAATCCCTCGAAAAACCCTTCGCCATCAAGATTGTCCCAGTAGGAAATACCTGGCTAACACCTCAACAAGAAATTGTCTGGTTTACTGACGACATCAGTCAACCTCTGGGAGAATACTCAAATAAAATCCAAACTTGTCTGGTAATGCTTGGAAATGGAAAACCTCAATAATCTAAGTCAACAAAGTAACCCTCAAATGGGTGCCAGTGCATAAAGGAACGGAAGGAAATGAAAAAGCAGATGCTCTGGCAAGAGAAGGATCAGCAACCAGTTATACTGATCCTGAGAACTGGGGAACAATTGGGATCACAAAGTATTCGGTAAGAAAAAAATAAACCAATGGGTGTAAAGATAACACCAAACTTATTGGCGAACTCTTCCGAAGCTCAGACACAGTAAGCTAATGGTACAACAACCATCACCTGGACTTACTGAAGAGATCCTACAATTAAACAGGAATCAAATCAGGCTAATAACTGGACTTACAACTGGACACTGTAGCCTGAGAAAGTGAGAAAACACCTTCACACAATGGGCATCCCCCAAGAAGAACCCATATGCAGACTTTGTGACGAGGAGGATGAAACCACCACCCACATAATCTTCGGATGTGAGGCTTTACGCTGGTGGAGATACAGACAGATAGGGCCAGAAGACCCTATCTCTAAAGTCACTGAAGTCACACGGTAAAGAGGCTCCTAAACCTAATCAAGGTAACGAAACTTTTCACTGACTAAGCAGACGGACCGGACAATACATAAGCTAGGGTGACCATACGTACAGCATTTCGCTGTATTGTACAGCATTTTCAAAGTCTGTCCAGCATTTGATTTTGTACAGCAAAAGTATAGCGATTCGGATCCGGTCTTACTTCTAAGTTTTTCCTAAAAAAAATGTACGAAAAATTGTCCGTCAATAACTAACGACATTTCTACATTTGCGATTTACGTCATTTACGCCATCATCTCCCAGAGTTTTCCTTTTAATGCTAACTACCTTTTTTATCTCTCCCTATTTCACGCTGCTAAGAAGAAGACACACCATTGTAGGTCTGTTTCTGCAGCAATTACAAACCAGTCAGCCCGAATTTCATTGGTTGCAAATAGTCAGAAACAGTCAGAAAACTACATAGTTTCAACCCAACGTTCCTAAAGTTAATAGGTTGTCTGGTAATGGGTAATGGTAAACAGATGACGTCATCAGGAACATCTAATGAAGATTTTCATTATGTTTAGGCATCCAGATGACGTCATAAAAGTTATCAGCCAACCTACCTCTTTCAAATAACCTTGGTTTCAACCATTAAGGTTTTTAACCAATGAAATTCACTCTGACTGGTTTGTGATTTCTGTGCGAACAGACCTATTATGTTATGTCTTTAATTTTTTTATTTTTTTTAAATTTGCATTAGTTCTTTCTCCACTCACCCGTCCCAAAATTTTAGATGTGTACAGGGTTATTGGTTATAAATGTCACCCCCCTCTATCTTTTTTATTTGACATTTTAGAAAAAAGTGTCTCAAATAAAAGTTTTATGGTTGAATTAATTTTTTTTGAAAAATTCACTTTCGCATATACAGGGTGTTTCAGAAAAGCTAATCGTGCTCCAACTTTCTTATTTTAAATGGAATACCCTGTATATTATTGAATATTCGGATTCTACATAAAATTCTGAACAGATTTCATGTGATATACCCTATACCTAAGTTCAACTGTTTTGGAAATATTGACAGTAGATTTTCATAAACTATCAGTTGACACTGATATTTGACATACCAACTTCGAATTTAATCCATGATTGAAAATTCCGATTAAATTTAATCTCCGGTTAAATTCAAAGTTGGTGTCAAATCATAGCTTATGAAAATCTAAGACAAAAATGTAAAAGATCGGTTTTGCTCTAAAATTAACCGTTTAGATTTTACAGCCTGTCAAAGTTGCAAAAAAGTCAATTTTCAACTGTCAATATTTCCAAAACAGTTGAACTTAGGTATAGGGTATATCAAATGAAATCTGCTCAGAATTTTATGTAAAATCCGAATATCCAATAATATACAGGGTATTCTATTTAAAATAAGAAAGTTGGAGCACGACCAGCTTTTCTGGAACACCCTGTATATGCAAAAGTGAGTTTTTCAAAAAATTTAATTTCAACCATAAAACTTTTATTTGGGACACTTTTTTCTAAAATGTCAAATAAAAAAGATAGAGGGGGGTGACATTTATAACCAATCAATAACCCTGTACAGCATTCATACAAAAAAAATATGGTCACCCTACAATAAGCCGACGGCTGCAGTGTTGGGGCCACCTACCCCGGCCTGTTCACTCTGCATCCCAACCAACCAACCATCAACCATAGATATACATATATAGGTTTTTTACGTTATATTTAGGATGACGTCATAGAACAAAAAGAGACAATGTTGTCAATGCCTATTTTTTTTCTTATAATTTATCAGAATGTCACGTGACAGTAGACCTATCTATTTTACCAACCAAAGAGGTAATAATACGAAAAGTTCATTAGATAAAACAAGACACAGAACGCTCATTGCGCAAGACGAGGCAAAATGTACCAAATTTTGTTAAACATACGTATGGCAATCCATCCTCCTTATTTTCACGGGATAAAAAGAGAAGAAAACCCGCGTGTTTTGCAACGTATTTATCAATGAAAATTTCAAACTACTTTTGAGTGTCACTTGTCAAGCTATGTCAAGTTGAATATCAACCGTACTTTTATTTTTGTCAGACCACGAGCAATGAACAAGGACAAGGAGATGTCCAGCGTGCAAAACGAAGACTTCACACCTGTACTAGTTAGCTAATAAAAAGACTTGGCTCATGTTGCGCGCGCATACCAGGTAAAAATAGATAGGTCTTTTCTGTCAAACGAAACGGAAAATAGGTAATTTACTTACATGCCTCACAGCAGTAAGAAGCAAAAATGGTCGCATTCCTGCTGGAAATGCGTTATTAAGTATACTACCCTTTTCTGAGGCCGACTCTGACAAACCTGCTGGCATTTTCTGAGTAAGTTTACGCTACGAAGAATTACTGAACTCTTGAAAGTACTTTTTCCTAACTGTAACGTATTTTTGACACTTAATTAGAATTATACAAAATAGTTAATAATTAATTATCAAGACGACTGACAGCTTAAAATAACGAAATGAATTGACACGCATTATTTGAAAATGTTTATATAAATCGATATAAATCATGCAACGTCGCGCACCGTTGCCAACCAAAAACATCTGAAATTGCCCTACTTTAAATGGGTTGAAAAGTACTTTTAGTTTTGTTAGGTTGGCAGCAGAAATTTACTAAATGTGACGTCATCCTAAATATAACGTAAGAAGCCTATATTAAATTTGGTGGTAACATTGTGATAGGTATAGCCAGTGGCGTATTTACGATTTTCATCTGGGGGGGGGGGGGGGGGGGCAACGTAACAATAAAAACACATAAAATTAATTATCTTTCTTTAGCGGGGGTCAAGGTTCTTGAAGTTAATAGGTTGTCTGGTAATGGGTAATTTGATGGCGCATCTAGGGTGCCTTATGGAGATTTGCATTATGTTGAGGCACCCCAGATGACGTCATCGAGTTATCGAGGCAACCCAAGGATGATACACATTACTACTACAGGATAGTCTATCCTCATAAAGCCTGTATGGAACAAATCCCCCCCGCCAAATTCCCAGTTGTGACGTAGGCAACATGTTATTTCTCGCCTTGGCGTAGACTGTTTAAACAGCTGACGATTTAGTTATAACGTCGGAAATGGTGACACACCAATATGGCGGCGATTACCAAAAACGAGGCCGATAAGTAATCCTGTAGGTGTGTATCATCCTTGCAGGCAACCTACCTCTCTCAAATAACCTTGAGCGGGGGTAGGGAAATGAAAAATCGAAACCAAAAATTCCGATGGAAGTGACGACATCAATGTGACGAATCGTATGTATTGATCCCCCCACAGATTAACCCGTCCTAGGACGGGTTAATCTGTGGATCCCCCTATGTCTCTCTCTCACTCCTATTCCCTTTCTTCCATCAGACATTTCTGTCTCTGTTTTAATTTGGAGTGCGTTCAAAATCACCCTGGCACACCAGGGTTGCATTCGAGAACCTGGTTATTGGTGTGAAATGTGAAAATTATTTCAATGAGTGCGGGTTCGACACACTTCGGTGTGTAAATCCTCTAGGTTTTCAAACGGTGACCGAGTCGTTTATGGTTTGTTAATGTGCGTATTCAGTAACGAAAAATTAAAAATATATTTCTGGGGGGCCCTGAGCCCCCACGTAAATACGCCACTGGGTATAGCCAATGCGAAATTGAGGATAAAGTAATGTTGAATCACTCTTTTTTCTATAAAGAGTATTTTGATATAGGTAACGAAAGAGCATTTTGATATAGGTAACGAAACAAATTATGATGTTCAAAGCAATCTGCAATGTGTAGGTAAAGTCCGTCGATTTTAATCTGATCTGAGGTTGCAACCTACATTAGAACGCCAATGGTCACCTGACGTTACACCTGTTTTTGCCATATGCTTCACCCCCTCGCTCCTCATACGGAAAGTGTCAGATTAAAAACGACGGACAATATGTACCTAGTGCAATCAATGAATACATTCATTTTTGATGTGGTTGCAATTGAAGGTCGCTTTTCAGAAGAAAAAAAGAAAAACACGTAGGTATTATATTTTCTTTTTCAAATTTTTTAATAGATATGTGAATAACGATAAACGCGATTAGGAAGAAAAAAGTAAAGCAAATACTTTTTATAGGAATATACATAGGTAAGGTATAAGGTTAAAGCCTTAGTGGTTTTTAAAAAACTCAATGCAATATTACAATAGATATTTCACTATAAACCGATATTTAATTTTTCCTATTGAAGCAAATTATCATATACATACCATACTATACTTATAATTTGGTATAACATTTGGTACTAACTACCCAAAATACTGCAAGAAACATAGCTGATTTACATTTTGAAGCTACAGCAGGAAGGCTAAAATCGGATAGATTTCACGAAGCCCAACTACTTTCCAGTAGATAGCCGGAGCCGGATATATAGATATTGTCCAAAGTTATAGTGGATTCGGACATGAAGATGAAGCAATAAGAGTATGCTTTCTCTCATCGATGCGCTTTTGAAAACATCCTTATAAAAGTATCGCTAACAAAAATAGGTAAAAAACCAAATATCGGATTATAGAAGTGGATATAGAAAACAAACTAAATACAAAATCTTAAATCTACAAACAGGCATCGACTAATATAACAGCTATGGGGTTGTCTCTTAATACTTATCTATTTAAATTTGAGCGACCTTAAAAAAATACATACATATTGTTAAAAAATATAATCTAAAGATTTCACTGAATTTTTCATAGTTTTTTGCTACTCTAAACATATAATTTTTTTTTCGGCCAGAAGATGTGTAGGTATTCATTAATATGGACTATGGACACTAGAGAATTACACTAAAAAATGAGATTTCAACTTTAAACATTTTGTTTGGGGGAAAAATAGAACGTATCACTAAAATATGTATACTTATTATAAAATTACATACTGACGCTCGCTATCAACCACATAAGGGTAGATTAGTAGAAAGTGAGAACTAACCATAAATTGCCACCTCAAACTATGAAACTTTTTCATTTTATTCATAAGACTCCGTGAAAAACTAACTTTCTACTAACCTGTTACCGCTTTTGATTTTTCTTTCCTATTAGTTTGATAATCATTTTTCTTTTCTTATATTTCTATATTTAGGTATATCAAAAACAGGAATGTCACGTAACGTAGTAAAAGAGAACAAGCAATTACATTTAAACTACTAGAAAAATCTTCACCAAAGCTATGTCTATCTATTTGAAGTGGTCATTGTATAGCCTAACTAGATAGCTAAGTATATTGTATAGTTTTGTTCCAAAATTGTCAAAACTCTTACAAAAATTATCATTTATAATAACTTTTGACATTGTCGGAGCATAGACTTAAATATTTAGGGTGTTCATTTGTACTGCTTTTCTTGCTTCAAGCAGATCTCAGCAGCAGATTGGCGTTTACTTGTCCCATATATAGCAGCTCCTAGCAGATCTTCCTGATTTTTCGAGCAGATAGAGCAGGTACAAATGAACTGCCTTATTAGTTGAGAAATACAAATAATGTAATGCCCACATTTAAACTTTTATCCATCTTCAACATCAATTATTCACGTTATTTCCTAATCTCTTTCTCCATTAAAAAGTTCTCATCAAAATCCTAGGATTATTAATTTCAATTAGCCTAGCTAGTTGCTACTTATAGTACCTAGCTACTAGATTACATTTTTAGGTATATTAATTGGGCACTAAAGCCTGAAGCGCATTACTAAATACAAATGTTTGTGTTTTATAAAAATGTATGTAGATCCTGCCTGTACTTCACAGGGTTCCTATTTTTCTTCACGAGCTCAAAAACCATGTTTACACATCAAAAATGATAAAAGCTACGACATCTTCCTTCCCATATTTGATAACATAGGTCTTATCTGACTTTTATGAAACAAAAAGTAAATCTTAGGTCAAAGCTATATGGTGCGCTGTTAAGCTTTAGTGCAACGACTTTATTCTTCATCAAAAACGATTTAAACAGGTGTACCAAAATCTGGATCGCCGACCCCATCAACATTCAAAGAGTTTGCATTATAAACGTATCTAGCTAACAATTTTTCTTTTTTCTGATCATGATCCATACCGTCAGTCAAGTCTTCATTGGGACACAACCGTAAAGCTTTACCGACTCTGAGATTTTGTCCGTGCAGGGAAAAGTATTTTTTTGAGGCTGGCTTAACAGGCTTCATAATAGCTGGATCGATTTGACTTTTTGTGAAAATATCCGAAATTATGTTATGCACATGTTCTTCAAACTGGGGACTTGTTTCGGGACATATCATGGTATGTTTGGATGGTTTAGTAACTTCAGGTGCGCTGAATTTGATATTTGGTTTTTCTTCGCAATTAGCAATAGCAATTTCTTCGCCAAATTCACTAGCTGTTGTAGATACATCAGAGTAGCCATCGTGTTTATTGAAAATGCTTTGTAAAGTCTTCACCCCAAAATACTTCTTCCTTGTCTTTTTTTGTTTTTTGTAATTTCTGTTCATCTTATGAACAGGTGAACTGCTACCACTTTCATCCGAATTCAATAAACTTTGATCACTTTTAGCTAGCGATTCGTTTGAGTGATACACCGACTTTTCGGGAAACTCGTTAATTTTTTCAATTTCTATTATATTCTCGTAATTGAAACTTGCCTTTTTGTCAGTCTGTAAATTTTTAGGTGAATGTGAATCGTTCGAGGCGATATCTGTAGATAAAATTTCCGAATCTAAATAAACATCAGTGCTAGTTTGCATGGGGGAAGACAAATTGTCCGAAATAAGCGAATTCGCTGAACAATTAAAGTTGCTCTCCATTGTAGCAAAAACATCAACTTTTTTGAAATCTTCTAGTTTGATTATGTTGTTTGTAGCATTATCCAGTAATACTAGTTCGCTGGTATCGACGTTTGATAACATATCAGAAAATTTTGTGATATTATCAGGCAAAGCGTTATTGTTTGAGTTGTGCAATTGCAACGTTGCAGTTTTATCTTCTTGTTCTGTTTTTATTTCCGTTACTGACATTATCTAGTGGACTTGGAGATCTTATGTTTTCAGTGCTGTTTCTAAGCGATAACCTGCAACAGTCACTAATTTCATTCAGTTAAATGGTTTCATGCGTGTAAAACAAGGTGCCATCACACAACAGTGAACTACCTAATGAATGCTAAAATTGAGAAAAAGCGAAATTATAAAAAAAGGCATAATGTAAATATTTGATATTTTTTTTGTGTTTCCTATATTGTTAGGAAACTAATGGATTTTTTTCAGGTGAGAGCAGTTTTGGTTATATATGCAAAGATGGAGCTTACCAAGAAAATCTGGATAAAAAATGATTATGAACATGAAAATTTTTGTTTTACTTGATTGAGAACAGTTTAATTCAGTCATATCATAAATTCAAGAGTGATTTTTATGATCAGCCAGGGGGAGACTGGGGTTGTAGTTCATCCAGGCCAGACATGTTGATCCCTAAGTCGAAAGAAAAATTGGTGTATTTGGATTTTGAGAAACCCATTGATAAGGTGCCTCACAGGTTGCTGTTATATAAGCTTGAATATTATCCACTAACATTTCATAGAGTATGAGAAGCATTGCCTAATCTTAGAGTATTTTTAATGAATAGATCTTACCAGGATAGGGTTAATGGCACCTTCTTAGACAGATATAGGGTTTTAAGTCCAATAATAATCTCTCGAGTGACTTAGAAAACATAACACACGAGCAAGCAGCATACAAGAACTGAAAAAACTTACAGGTATTTTTTGGGAATGAGATTTATTTAAAGTAGGATTTATATTTTTTTATCCAATTTTGACGTTTAAAAATGACATTATTGAGCGCATAATAACAAAGGTAAGTAGACGTTTATCACCTCAGTGATTTAAAATATTTTTAACTCACTCTCGGTCTTTTAAGTCACTCTACCAGTATAGAATCTGCTGCAAATACAAACAAACAACTAGTTATACCCTAGCAACCACCAATTTCAATATTTAGACGTTTTCATATGCTGCTTAATGAATTATTTTTATAATTTGATTCCTATCAATTTAAATGTCCATCAAAATAGGATAAAATTTTGTATACATCACGTGAGTTAACATGTTTATTCATTCGAAGAAAATTAACCCACTCGTTAAGGCTCGTGGGTTAAACTTTCTTCTCATGAATAAACATTCATTTAACTCACTTGGTGTATAAATAACTATTATTTTCTACTTAATTACATATTATAAATCCATAATACCTAGGAAATGAAATACGTTAACATACCTATAACAACAAAGGGCATTATAAATCAGCGGGCGTTATGATCCATAACGCCCGCTTATAATACCCTGAGGTGTTTTTGTTGTTGTTGTTTTATTAATTTGCACTTTACCCTAGGCAGCCACTAAATGTCCGACCGAAAATAATTTTCGGTCTGGCCAGGATGTAGTCGAGCGCGTTAGCCCACACGACCACCGTTGCCTTGCCTTATGAGATATTTATAGATATATTAATTTATTTCGTTTCTAGGTACAGGTACATGTCAAAATACAAAACAATATTCTGTCACACAAGTTTAACTGATTTTGTTTGATACTAAATTGATGAAAGAACGTTGTGGTGAGTAGAAAATAAAGCATTGTATGCTCCACGGGGATTTTTAGAATATAATGCCCTTCAGGCGAAATATATCCGTCGGGCTAGTTTCGCCTTCGGGCATTATAATCTACATAATCCCCTTGGTATATAAATAGCTATTACTTCCTGACGTTTCGCGTTGACGTTATAAGAGAGTGAGTTATAAACCATAACACACTAGTGAGTTATAATTTATAATACACTAGTGTGTTATTTGATAGTTTACCTGTCTAAATTGGCACAACTTAAATTTTGTCAAGTATGAATCCATATTTTGCAAAAAAGATTATGAATCAAGACTAAATAACTACTGGCCTTTTCTCTCGATGTGCCTCCATTTTGTTGTAATGGGGGAGCTTAAGGGATCCCACCAAGGTTGATGCCCACTGACATTACCACTGCAGTGGCGGATCATTTACTTACCTTGTTACTCCTGGCAACTTATATGAGTAACACAAACGAAAAAAATCCTGTAGAGGAAAAAATTGAGGTGGAAAATCCGACTCTGGCGACAGAGAGAATCGGGCCCCAGGCCGAATTCTCGTTTCAGGAAGTAGAGCTTCCCGAGAGAAAAAATTTTTCGTCTTCATCATTCTCATTTACTTTTCGATTACATTGACAAGGACAAAAAATTCGTTCTATCAGGGAGCTGTACTCCTTGAGACGAAAATCCGGCCCGGCAAGAAACCAGCTGCTTCCGAATCCTCGAGCGGCAAACCAGAACCAGGCGGCAGCAAATCGGAAATCCAAAAAAAATGGACTGTTGAACGTATGGTAAAATACTGCAGGCGAACCTGCAATACTCAAGAGCGACCACATCGGTTCCAGCCAACCAAGGTCTTTAATGGGGAGCTGATAGATATAGCCCTCATTCAAGAACCTTAGACGTCAAATCCAGGCCGAGTTTACTTTGTACTATCGAGCTTCTGCAATGAGGACACTACTACCATCCATCATTCCTATTGTGATTCTCCCGGGGAAGAGCGAGACAGAACTAATCGTCTACTCAGTATACTTTCGACCATCTTCCAACAGAGAGGCAGAAGCCCCTCCTCCCAGGATTGTGGCAGTGTTGCCCACTGCAAGATGAGGAACATTCAACTGTTGCTAGGGTGCGATGCCAACCCTACCATACAGCTTGGAGAAGCACAGATATTAACAACAGAGGTGAATCCCTATACAACTATTTATTAAAGGAGAGGCTGACCGTAAACAATTTAGGGTCAGAGCCAAACTTTGCAACTATAAATAGGAAAGAGGTACTAGACTTGACAATTAGTTCAAACTTTATTTCTATTAAAATAATCGATTGGCGTGTGGCACTCTAGCCATCATACTCGGACCACAGGCATAAAAGATTCGAGATAAACAGAGGCCCACGACAAGCCGTGGAGTTCAGAAACACAAGAGTACTGACTTGGACGGATATAGAGGGCCCCTCCAGGACGCGATTTTACATAGTATACCATGTGCATGTAGAGAGCATCGAGCCTATAAGCTCCGCCCCCAATCCTACTCCAGCTTTGGGTTAGGACAATGTACCGTTACGATTCTGCGCAAAACCTTAAATTGGTGCGTAGAATCCGAAATTCTTATACAAAGTGGCATTCGGCAAATGGAGATGAAACGAAGTGAGACAGCACGACAACGGCGAAAGTATCCAGAGATTCTAGAACCCACGATTCGCATGCAAAGTTAGAGTTTTTATTAAAAAAATTACAACCTGAGATAGAAATGGAAACTTTGGAATTTAAAAGTTGTCCAGAATTTAGGGCTGTTAGATGCAAACTGATAGGGAGTGATTTTGCAGAAGTTAAGAGTTTAATAGAAAAGCTTAGTGTCGATACATACAGGGCTTTCATTTCAAAACTTGCCACCTACGTTATCAGCGTAAACAGACAGATTTTTGGAAAACGCCGAAACACGTCAACAAATTTATTGAGGGGGAAGGTTGTTTACGTAAAACTGGATTTCGCCCCTTCAACCCCCTAAGCCCTAGGGCTACCACCCCAAAATTTTCAAATGGGACAGCGAATCCAGTAATAGATTATTTCAAAGGGCTGTTTAATCTGTACATTTTGCCATCCTATTTTTTAAATTTGACCTCACTGTTGCAGAATAACACCCATTCCAATGTTTAAAAATGCCTACTTATCCCTAAACATACCTGCCTGTTTACCTGTTGCTGTAATGAAAAGGTAGGTAAAAAAGCAGGTGTGTTTAAAGATAAATGGGCATATTTAAACATTGAAATGGGTGTTATTCTGCAACACTGAGTTTAAAATCAAAAAATAGGACGGCAAATTGTACAGATTAAATAGCCCTTTAAAATTATCTATCACTCGACCCCCTGTCTCATTTGAAAATTTTGGGGTGGTAGCCCTGAGGATTAGGGGGTTGAAGGAAGGAAGTCTAGTTTTACGTAAAAAACCTTTCCCCCAATAAATTTGTTGACGTGTTTCAACGATTTCCACAAATATGCCTTTTAACGCAGATAAAGTGGGTGGCAAGTTTTGAAATGAAAGCCCGTATACAAACTGGATGGTTAGAAGAACGTTTCCGAAAGTACAAGAATTAGCTTTTTGCAAAATTTTCGTCTGTCAGCATAACAACTTTAAACAAGAATGCACAGAAAAAGGCAGTTCTAATTTGCGGAACAGGAAAAAACTTTGGGGATCCAATGTACAAATTGACATCAAGATTTAAAAAAATAACTGAATCCAGGTTTGCGATAGGTTGAAATAGTTATCCTGCGCGCGAGCCTATAACGCGATAACGTACAATACCTCATTTTGCGCACTGCTGATTATCTATACCACATTGCAAACTTTCGCATTGCAGACATTGTTAATACTGAGCCAAAGCTGAACTGGGCTTGGGGGCGGAGCTTATAGATTCTCGTGATCACTTATCTTTTTTCATGTGTCAAATCCTGTGGCATCTGTCAAAGGTTGCTAATTTTGCTCGCAGATGCAACCACCGAACCCAGCCATGGCATACTATGTAAAATCGCCTCCAGGGTGCCAGTACACTTCACGGACACACAAAATTTGCGTTTTTCTGAATTTTATCAGAAAGAGGGTACCTACTTCAAGTAGTTTATCGATTGCTCGCACTAAGGCTCGCTCCCCTCGCCAAATCTCAAAGAAGAGATCCTCGGAAACGTAAATCCACCAACAATGTGAAAAACCCTTTCTTTTTCTCCTTTTTTCTTGGATTGCTTTTCTAAGATCGTCGGAAACATCCACCAAAAACGGGAAAACCCTTAAATATAACACCTTAAAATTATTATTTTTTTTTCTTGGATTGCTCGCTCCGCTTGGCAAATCTCAAAAAGAAGATCCTCGAAAACGTAAATCCATCCAAAAGGTGAAAGTGTGAAAGCCCCTTTTTTTAAATAATATAGGTAACACCTTGAAATTTAAATTTTTTTTTCTTAGATTGCTCGCTTGTTTCACGAAAAAAATGTACAAAGAATAGAAAGGTAGTTTAACGTGAACAAGCATCAACTCAACACAGAGTGGAAATAATTGTTTTCTCAAAAACTACTGGATAATCCGCAATTTTTTTTTTACATTCTATAGAAGACCCTCTTTTTAACGAAATTTAAAATTTTGCTAAAATCGTATGTCCGCAAAGTGTACGGGAGCCGCCTCCAGGACACCTTGCGTGACTGCACTTTCTCCATAAGAGATTGTGACAGTGGCGCACCCAGAAAATATGTTTGGGGGGGGCCTTACATAGGTTGTGGCTCGTGACTGAAAATCTAAAAAAAAAAAAATTGAAGTGTCAGGGTGCCACACCCAAAATTTGCCACATTTTTTTATACGTAAGAATACAGTTTTGGAGGGGCGGCCTGGGAGGGGGCCCTAGCCTGATGGTTCCCCCCTGGGTGTGTCACTGTCCAGGAAATCTGGGAAACTTTGGAAAATGAAGAATTTTTTGAAATATCCAGAAGCTTTTGAGCTTGAACATACTAAAATTTGATTGGAAAAAAGTAAGGATAGCGAAGTTATAATATTTGTAATCTAAAAGACAGACTGAGTGATATTTTTGCCTTACAGTCTATGGCCTGAATTTTTAATTTTTTTTCTGGAAATTCGGGAAACTTTGTAAAATGATTCTTTTTTTAAATATCCGTAAGCATTTTAGCTTTAATATACTTAAATTTGATCGAGAAAAAAACCAAAGATAGCAGCGGGGCTACGAATTTTTTAATTCCAAAGAGACACTAACTGGTATTTTTACAATACAGACTATGGCCTGATTTTTGATTTTTTTCCTAGAAATCTGAAAAAATTTGGAGAATGAAGATTTTTTTTATACCGGGTGGTCCTCCGGGAATGACATCGATTGCTTATGGGAAAACTGTGAAAGGTAAAAATTTGAAAATTTGGCAACATAGCAATGTCGATGGGGGACATCTAGGTAAAATATTTTCAAGATGGCGGCATTTCCGGTCATACCGGAAGTTGATACCAACTCGGTTATTTTAAATAGAACACCCCATATATTAATGTATTTTTGGATTCTACATAAAATTCTGAGCAGATTTCATGTAATATACCCTATACCTAAGTTCAACTGTTTTGGAAATATTGACAGTTGAAAATTGACTTTTTGCAACTTTGACAAGCTGTAAAACCTAATTGGTTAATTTTAGAGGAAAACCGATTTCACATTCCTATCTTAGATTTTGATAAACTATCATTTGACACCAACTTTGAACTTAAACGGAGATTAAATTTAACTGAAATTTTTAATCATGGATTTAATTCAAAGTTGATGTCAAATGATAGTTTATAAAAATCTAAGATAGGAATGTGAAATCGGTTTTCCTCTAAAATTAACCAATTAGGTTTTACAGCTTGTCAAAGTTGCAAAAAGTCAATTTTCAACTGTCAATATTTCCAAAACAGTTGAACTTAGGTATAGGGTATATTACATGAAATCTGCTCAGAATTTTATGTAGAATCCAAAAATACATTAATATATGGGGTGTTCTATTTAAAATAACCGAGTTGGTATCAACTTCCGGTATGACCGGAAATGCCGCCATCTTGAAAATATTTTACCTAGAAGTCCCCCATCGACATTGCTATGTTGCCAAATTTTCAAATTTTTACCTTTCACAGTTTTCCCATAAGCAATCGATGTCATTCCCGAAGGACCACCCTGTATAGGTATCCGAAGCCTTTTACTTTTAACATACCAAAATTTGATTGGAAAAAAACCAAAGATAGCGGAGCTACGATTTTTTAAGTAACATAGGTTGTGGCTTGTGACTGAAAATCTAAAAAAAAATTGAGGCGTCAAGGTACCACGCCCTGAATTTGCCAAATTTTTTTATACCTACATTAAAATAAAGTTTTGCAGGGGCAGCCTGGGGAGGGCCCTGGCCCGATGGCCCCCCCCTGGGTGCGCCACTGGATTGTGACCAGCTGGAGCGAATAACCGAAGCCATCATATCAGCTTTTCACGAAAACTGTCTATTAAGGGTTAGAAAAGACAACAGAAACACACCCTGGTGTAATAATAGTCTTAAATAAGTTGAGAAGAGAACTTCGGCAATTTGTTTAACCGAGCTAAAACAGCAGACAACTGGGAAACCTATAAAGCTACAGCAACAACAAAGAGATAAGAAAGGCAAAAACAGAATCTTGGAGGAGGCAATGCGAAGGCATAAAAGATGTGCTCGGCAGAGCACGAATCCAAAAAGTTCTGTCAAAGGAGAGTGGGCAAGAGCTAGGGTCGATAAAACACCCCGAGGGATCCTAAACACAACCCAGAAGAAAAAAAACGTTAGAGATTCTCGAACAGAACCACTTCCCAAAAAGGCTGCTCCAATGACTGCTCCTCCAAGACGCTCAACCCAGTGATCGAATTAAACGACCTGGAAGGGAAGACTGGCGGACAGCCAACGAAATTATTACAGCGACGGCCATAAAGGGGGCGCTCCTATCATTCCACCCTTTTAAATTACCTGGCTTTTCCCTGCTCTGCTAATAAATGTATTTGGGATTCTGCTATCATTCCTAATAAGACTCTTCAAAGCCAGACTTGCGTGCAGCCATACACTATCAAACTGGACAGATACAAAGGTAATCTATACTCCTAAGGCGGAGCGCAAGAAATCCACGTCCCAACCATTCAGACCAATAAGTTTGACATTTTTCCTGCTGAAAACTTTAGAAAAAGTTCTGGGTGAGTGGATTAAGTGAGAAGTGCTTAAGACGAGTCCCTTTAGTACTTATCAACATGCCTCGCCGCTTCCTTGGACATAGATAGATCTTTTAATAATGCGATGCCAAACTCTTTCTATGAGGCATCAAAATCTAGAGACATAGACCCACTAATTTTTAACTGGATCAGGACCATATGCTGAACGGTAAAATGATAACGACCTCTCTTCAGGGGGGAAATGGTCTTTGGTCTCTTAGTAGATGACCTTCTAGCTGTGATACAACTATGGGGGATTGAGGTTCAAGCATATGCGGATAATCTAAGTAGTGATATTAGCCAAGGGTAGCTTCAAGATGGACCAACTTGCAAAAGTTGGATCTTAACTTAACTTCATTGGACTGGATCCAGTACATGAGGCCCTAAGTACGGCTAACCATAAAATCTTGACCTGGGTCAATATAGAGGCCAGACAATACTGGGAAAGGTTACCATGCAAAATCCTATGTACCCAGTACAAAAAGGGAAAAAGTGCCGGACACACTTCTGGAAATGGGCAGGGAAAGCCTCAAAGCCCTGGTGGATCTTTACACTGCGGACCTCGGCATTACATGCACAGGATCGGAGTAGCACAAAATGCTTAGTGTCGCCTAAGCATGGAAGAGGACGAAAGTGCAGAACATGTCCTACATTCGAGTAGTCAGCTGTTCGACCAATACATAAAGCATACTTCCCCCTCATTTCCACCTTCATCAGAAGAGTTGGACTAATGGGGAAAATATAAACTTGGAGTGAACCATAATAGACCGCAGGTCCCAGTGGAAGGGCCGTCATCAGACCACTCACAGAAAACCTAAAACCTAACCTATAATGAAGAACTTAACAAGTCAGCGTATTGCTATGTAAGCAGCTCTCATCAGATTGTAAGATTCTGGAATTTTTTGTTCACCTTGTCATATTGTAATAAGATTGATTCAGCAATAAAGAATAATTAAATATGTATAAAATATGCATTACATCACACACTAAACAATATTGAATTAAAAAAAAAAGACATGCCTAAATAAACATAATATTTATTCCCAAAAATATAATAGACATAAACAACACATACATTCTTCTGCGAAATAAAAACTAATTTTTAACAGAAAAAAAAATATTGCACTTAAGTAAAAAAAGGAATTAAAGTGATATCACATTTACTTGGTAAAAAATGGTCTAGACATGCAATAAAATTAACACATGCTGGTTACCAAGAATATTTTGCAAGTTAATATAAAAAGTTATATTTAAAAGGACAATTTTTAACATACAATGACTCGAAACAATTTTTCACTTATGAACTCTTCACTGGACGCGCCTAAATCCCTAGTAATTATATTTGAATTATTATTATCAACACATAGGAACTATAAAAATATACGGACTAGACATTGTCAAAATTTAAAAAAAAACTCTTATAAAGCGGAATTTTCCCAAACCGAAATACTGGGCTGAATACTGTTACACAAAATATTCTTGTGATTCAATCAAAATTGGCACTTAAAGATAAAGCTTGGAAATCTCACCTGCTCTCTGGATTCGATTCGGGCGTCCTCGGAGCCGTAGGTGTGTTGACGATTTCTGGAGATCCTTTCACTTGGCTTGATGTGCTTGAATCGCACACCTCTTCATTGAAAAATCTAGACAAAAAGATTATATTACATTTCAATCTTTTCATATATTTATAAGGCATTTCTAATCTGTCTACAGTTCTTAAGTTGATACCATGACCATGTATCTTCGAACCCCAAAATGTTTTGTTTCTAAACAAACAAAAATTACCTAAAATTAAGTCCATCCTCTTCCAACGAATTATCACTATCATCGGCAGCAATATATTGCACTTGCAAAATACAATCGCCAGTCTGCTGTTGCAGAATCGAAACGGCCTCCTTATGGCAGGAATTCCTTAAATCTATATCGTTCACGAACAAAATAGCATCGCCAATGTACAATTGGTCCGACATTGCAGCCGGTCCGTTTTGCTCTAGCTCGGATATCAATATGGGAACTCCGTGTTCTCTACCACCCTAAAAAGTAAAAATATACATGTACTGAGAGAGCTAGGCAGTTGTGAAATAAAAAAAAATCTGACATTTTCATTTTCTCCATAAACAATTCAAGTATTGAACAGAATGTCTTCTTAAAAAAAATTGATCCTTACCGTAATACTAATTCCAAGGCCCTGTTCCGGTTTGCGCTTGACAACAACATTTCTGATGTCGCCAAAATGTCCGTTACTTCTTGCGGGTTCCGGTGGCGGCTTCAGACACTTGTCCTGATTGTTATTCAAGGAACTATTCCGTCGACAAGCCCTAACTACTGTTTTGTGCCTTTGAAGCAGAATTTCAGACTCGAGCTGACCCCAAAGCTTGTCTCGAATCTCGCCGCGCATTTCTTTACCTGTAAATTCTACATTTGAAAATTTCAAAATATACACTTGAACTTTTGTAGTAGAGAATTATTTTAGAAAATATGTTTCGAGTCCTACCTAGTAGCTGAAGCTGTTGTATCCTGCCGGCTAGTTCTTTGTCCAAGTATTTAGCTGCTAACTTGGCGCCGTATACTTCGGCAGTTAGTGCGAGAATGTCGTTCCTAAGCGCTGTATTTTCGGCCATAAGCTGTGCGTTTTCAATTTTTGTGTGAATCGGTTCTAGTGCCGTTGGACTGATTTTCATTTCTGGTTCTTTTTCTTTGGTATCGGTGCTCACTAAAAAAAAATATTCATGGTTAAAAACGACTGCATATAGTTAATTTGTCGACTTCTTCTCCAGGGACAAGTTTCTTAATAATTATTACAATCTAACAATGACTAACTCAAAATTATAAGCTGGAGACTCTAGAAACGGACAAAAAAAAACCGTGCCTGACACGGAACCTTTCGACAGCTTAATCTATCATTGTACTTTATCTGAATGATTTTTGCTTCTCTTTTCAAAGTCCTCCAAAAAGTGATGGTACTGTGCGATTTTTATATGGGTATAGGAACATTTATTTGATTCAGTGCGAGACAATGATCGGTCTTTCAAATACGTTTCCATCTGATTTAACTTCTGGACCATTCAAATTGAAAGAAGCAAATGAATCCCCGTCATCTATCTCTCAAACAAGCACAATAACTTGACTTTCCTCATCTTTTACTATTAATGTAGAAGTCATATTAACACGTTCAAAAATCTTATTGGGAACAATGGTAGCTGATCTTAAATATTAAGAATTATACAGGGTGTCCCAAAAAGATACAGACAAACTTTAAGGGGTAGCATTTTTGTTTATATAAACATATGTCCGCAAATGAGCCATTTGGGCTGTAGAGCAAAAAAACTGTTTGAGACTTTTATTCTTCGCAATAATTAAATCACTGTTTACCTATTAATTTTGCTTTATTATGAAATAAATTATGGTTTACAATAATGGGCTCTTTCACTAAAATTTAAATACGTAATTTAAGTATAAAATCCCAAAGGAGGGATTATTTTTGGCATATATACCAAAAAAAAATGTTCTACAAGGTTAAATAAGTTTTTTACAGGCATTTTAAACTAGCAAAATTCAAATTAATTGAAAATGCGCCGATTTGCTGACGTCGCATAAATATTTTTCATTTCGCTTGTTTTTGCAAGGAGCTGACCGCCTCGGCTGTATTTACCCTGTAGTAAATGCAGGTAAAGGTTCGAATGCGCTGTTGTCGGTGGTGACTAAATGTAGTGCAACGTAAAATAAATAAATAAAACTAAACATAAAAAATTATATTAAATTGTGTTTAAGCATAATTTCAATAAAAATGTTTTAAAATCTTGAATCCATAACTAATTAATTTAACTACTTTTCATGATATTTTGCGAACATTTCAGAATTAAATCTATTACAAATTTTCAATGTTGACAATTAGTGGCAACACGGTCAAATTGCGAGCTGCGACGTCATAGAAATAAATTCTGGGTTTTTATTTGGAGGTATTTCTTTTTTTTCTGTTTTCTCAAGAAGGACTATGAATTTTTCAAAAGTAAAAATACAGAAAATTCTGTTTTTAGTTGCTTTATCCAAATATGCCAATTTCAAAAATTAGTGAAAGAGCCCATTGTTCAAAATGTTGACCATTTACTTCAATGCAAAGATTACACCGAGTAGCGCTAAGTGGTATCACCACGTTCCGCTACTGCACTGGCAGTCCGGTTCCAACAATGAGTAACAGATAGCATGATGGCGCCTCCAGGATCAAAATATTCCGGAGGTAAAATACCCGACCACTCGGATCTCCGGGCGTCGGGTGATCCTGGGGGTCCTTCATGCAAAGATATAAAGAGAAGATCAAAAACTCAACTCAGAATTGATTTTAGCAATATAAGAGGAATAAGTACAAATATGAATTCAGTTCACCAACATCTTGAAGAACAAAGACCTGACATCCTTGTTCTCACTGAAACTAAAATCAGTTCTGCAACACCTATTGTGAACTATCTTTACCCCGGCTATGACCTACACCACCGATTTCGACATAATTTTGGGATCTGTGTGTACATTAAAAATGACCTTTCATGTCATCGAGAGGAGAAGCTAGAACCAGCGAACCTTGATATCATATGGCTAAAATTCACCGCAAAGTCATCGACCAAGTTTATCTGCTGCCTCTACCGACCGCCAAGTAACACCGATTACCAAAACTTTTTCGCGACATTATCCGAAAGCTGTGATAGTATACAGTCAAACTATCCACAGGCGGAAATTGTCTTTTTAGGCGATTTCAACGTCCACAATATACCCTGGCTGAAACAACACAACAAAACAGATAACGAAGGCAGAGAAGCAGAAGCTTTTGCCATAAGTTGTGGTCTAACGCAGCTTGTCGATGAACCTACCCGTATCTCAGAAAGGGGCGAATTTGCAGCGCTTTTAGACTTGTTCCTAACCACAAATCCTGACTCGTACACAATTCAAGTAGATGCTTCACTTGGTTCGTCCGATCATAAACTTATAATAACAAAGTGCGAAATGCTCATCCCACCAAGCCTACAACCACTTCCTCGTAAAATGTGGCACTATAAATCGGCAAAACGGAATGACCTAAAACAGTATTACCTGAATTTTCCATGGCAAGAGGTTTGCTTTAAAACAGCTGATCCCACTATTTGCTGTAATGAAATAACACAAGTAATCTTATCTGGAATGGACGCATATATCCCACATACAACTAAACGTAGAGCTAATGCAAAACCTTGGTTCAACAGCCAGTGTCAAACGGCTGTACAGAAAAAACACAGAGCATATAACCTTTGGAAACGACAACAAACCGCTCAAAACCACACAGAATTTATAGAAGCCAGAAATAGTTGCAAAATTACTATTGACTCCGCTAAAGAAACATACAATCAAAGAATAAAAAACAGGTTGCTGAATTGTCCAAGTAATTCTAGGTCTTTTTGGTCTCTTGCAAAAGCTGTTGGATCTAACTTCATCAAGTCATCCATACCACCACTTACAGATAAAAATAATCACTTAGCCACAACATCAGAGGAAAAAGCCAATATGCTTGCCCAAATGTTTTCCTCCAACTCCAACCTAACAGTGCCAAACGGAAAAACTCCACCGTTCATTGAAAGGGTTTCCCATAGTATGCCAGAGGTACCCTTTTGTCACAGAGAAATACGAAAATCCCTAAAAAAGCTGGATACAAACAAAGCAATGGGTCCGGATGGCATTCCCGCAATAGTACTCAAAAATTGCGCCAACGAACTCACCCCAACTTTCGCAAAATTATTCAATTTGTCTTACAGGCAAGGAGTATATCCATTATCATGGAAGTCTGCCGCAGTACAACTCATTCCAAAGAAAGGAAAAAAGACAGATCCGTTAAACTATAGACCAATTGCTCTACTTCCGGTGATATCAAAAGTAATGGAAAGAGTTGTGAACAATCACCTAACCAAGTACTTGGAAAAGTACAAAACTATCAACGATAAGCAATACGGATTTCGAAAATATAGGTCAACTGGCGATTTACTTACATACGTCACTCACTTATGGCAAAAAGCGATTGAGTTGCGGGGTGAAACAAGAACAATTGCCTTAGATATATCTAAAGCATTCGACAAAGTTTGGCATGAAAATCTGCTCAACAAGCTCAAAGCAATGGGATTATCGCCGAAACTTTGCACTTGGTTTGAAAGTTACCTAAAGGACAGATCCATTTATGTTGCACTGGATGGCCAGAGCTCCAACTCTTACCAAATAAATGCTGGTGTGCCACAGGGAGCAATCCTTTCGCCAACTCTTTTCCTGATTTACATAAATGATCTCATAGATAAAACAGTAAATCCACTTTATTGCTTTGCAGACGATGGCAATGTAGTCTCCTCACTCATACCACCCACAGGTCTTTCCGCACGTGAATTCCATCATCTTAGACTAACTCAAATATCGCAGATAAATAACGACCTGGAGATAATAGAGGACTGGGGTAACAAAAACCTTGTACAGTTCAACGCGCAGAAAACCCAAGCAGCTCTGTTTTCAAAAAAGACCAGCACCGGTGAGCCAAACATCATGCTATCTGGAAGTGCTGTCACATTACAGACTCAGTTGAACATCTTGGGGGTTACTGCAGAGACCAACATGTCTTGGCACAGTCACGTGGCAGATATTGCTAAAAGGGCCCCCAAAAGCTGGGGGTGCTATTTCGTACAAGACATCTGTACACACCAAGCCAATTGCTGACACTCTACAAAGCCCAGATTCGACCAACTATGGAGTACTGTTCACATATATGGAGTGCAGCACCCAAACATACCTTAATGCTTTTGAATACCGTGCAAAAACGAGCTATCAAGCTGATCAATGACCCCGTACTTACTCGTAACTTGGATGGTCTCGAACATCGCAGATCTGTGTGCGATTTATCTCTCTTCTACAGGTACTATCACGGAAAATGCTCTGAAGAGTTGGCACGTATGATTCCACCGAGAGTAGCACCTACCAGGCGAACCCGTCAAACAGACGGTAACCATGAATTTACTGTCAAACTACGGTACCAAGAACCTCATTATATCAGAATTCATATCTCTGGAGAACAGCATCGCTGTGGAATAAACTCCCTGCGACGGTTTTCCCTGCCGGTTACAACCTGAGTTCGCGAGTTGAACAATTATTCTAAACCATAATTTATTTGATAATAAAGCAAAATTAATAAATAAACAGTGATTTAATTATTGCAAAGAATAAAAGTATCAAACAGTTTTTTTGCTCTACAGCCCAAATGGCTCATTTGCGGACATATGTTTATATAAACAAAAATGCTTGTTTTGATGTCCCCTACTTACCCCTTAAAGTTTGTCGGTATCTTTTTGGGACACCCTGTAGACTCATTAACGATTTATTTTAATTTCTCTATTGTTAAAAATACTAAACCATTTCAACCTCAATTTCGGAAAAAGTAACTTTTATTTAGGAAAATGTCAAGTCATTTCCGGAAAAACTCAAATCAATTTCAGAAAAAGTAATGGTAATTTCGGAAAAAGTAAAGTTAATTTCGGAAAAAGGAAATTCAAATTCGGAAAATTTAAATTCATTCATAGCTTACTTTTGCCGAATTTGAATTTACTTTTTCCGAATTTGAATTTACTTTTTCCGAAATTAACTTTACTTTTTCTGAAATTAATTTGACTTTTTCCGGAAATGACTTGACATTTTCCTAAATAAAAGTTACTTTTTCCG